ACAGGGTCTGCAGAGACTCCTAACAGTCTGGGCAGGGGATCACTGGAGCCAGCAGGCTCTGGCTTCTCCATCCTGCTTAGCTCATTGTGGGTAGTGAGCTCCACCCATCTGTCTGCCTGTTTCTGGGGAGCTGTGTGGGGCAATTCCTAAGGATCCCTGGCTCCAGCTCCTGCCTAGCCATGGAGTTCGTGTTCCTCTCATCCTTTGCCCTTCCAAATCCTCCTCGAGTCTCACTGGTGCTTCAACTGCTACCTCCTCCAGAAAGCATTCCAGAGGCACTCCTCACTCTGAGCTGGCTTTGTATTAATGTGCGAATGGTCCACAGTTGTGCACAGTGTTCTGGCTGATTGTGGGCAGAGCATGCCACATGCGAGTTCCAGCTCAGGCCCTTGACAGCAGAGGCTACCCTTGCACTTTGGTGTTTTCCAGGCGCAAACACAGCCCTGATGATAGCTCAGTCAGTCCTAGCCGGACAGCTCAATAGTGCTGGCTGCAAGGCACTGCCCACCTCCCTCCCCTGCCATCCACCATGCAACTGCCCTGGGTAAAGGAGGCTACTCAGTCAGGCCATGACCAAGAGGCGTGTAAAGCTTGCCCTATCACTCCAGTTGGGGTCAACTTGAGAACTCCCCACCAAGCCTGCACTGCAGCTCAACCTCTGTTGGCTGCCTCTCCTTCCCCAAGGAAAACTCCTTTAAAAGCTAATTTCTACCCCACATTCTGTTGTCCAGGGAACAGGGAGTAGGCATTTCTTCAGGGCCTTAGTTCTTTCATCTATTAAAATGCAGTCAATGATGGGAGAGGGCAGAGGAGCTGAGAAAACTCCCAGAGGTGAGGGACCCACTCAAGGTGAACAGGAGCCATGGGCCAGAATTTCAGCCCTCCAGTGAATCTACTACTCTGCCCTGCATGCTGGGGACAGAGAGCTTTGGGGCGAGGCAGACGAACCCTGGCTGACTTTCTTCTTTCCTGTCTTCAGTCGGGTGAGGGCAGTCAGAGCACCCGCAGCCGTGTTGCTCTTTGGGGAATGCATGGAATACTCATTTATTACATTTATGTCATAAAATGCATAATTTTTCCTGAAACTTGCCAACTTTTATTAGCTTCCAAAAATAAATAAGGGGTTATTAGTTGTCCAAATTCTGAGAACATTCTTAAGGAGAAAACCTTTGAACTGTCTAAGACCTTATTTTTTTCTGTAAAACAGGAGAAAGACATCCACAAGTCAATTTTAATAAAAAAGACTCTCGAAGCAGCCCATGGGAAGGGGAATGAAGCCTGGAGATGGCTGTTGTAGAAGGGGCTCAGGGCTCTGGAAGTGGGGGGCAGAGCTTTCCGAGTTGATCCGGGTGAAGGAACGATTGAGCCTGGTGTCTTAGCCATGGAAGGACTGCAGGGCAAGGCTTCTTGGCTTCAGGCACACCCAGCACATCGATGGGTGGTGGGTCAAAGTCCCAGCCAGCACTACAGACATTTCCACTGAACACTCACTGGAAATGCTTGCTGGCAGCTGGATTCCCTCAGACCTGGAGTACAGTGGTGTAAGACCATTCTAGGTGCTTCACAATAATGAGCTCTTTCAAGTCGCTCAATCAGTGGACAGTTATGGCTGCGTCTACATGTTCCCCTAAAGGCTCCTGTGGTCATTTTTGGAAGTGGCTGCAGCTAGGATTTGTGCTGCTGGAATTAAGAACGTGACGCTGGAACTGATTCATGGTAAGATGCTAGGATTAATGGTGTGAGTATTATCCACCCTAAGGGTGGGTAGCCTGGGTAAGATATAAGGGACAAAAGGAGCTGTGGTTAGGGCTTATCTCTAGTCACTTGCTTGCTTTTGCTATCTTCTGCCTGCCATGAACTCTTTTTCCTCTGCAATGTCCCTTTGCCTTGGAGCTGGCCAACTATGAACTGAAACCTCCATGAACTCTAAGCCAAATAAACCTTTCTTCCTTTAACTTGGGGTGTTGGGTACTTTGTCTCAGCAATGAGAAAAGTAACAAGACCTGGACACATTTGACAGAAGAAGAAATAGAGCATTCAAGGTCTGAAGTAATCTGCCAAGATCCCACAGCTGATGTGTAGAGAAGTTGGGATTCCCATCTAGCCTCTAATTTCAAGGCATGAACCTTCCCTGCTACATGATTCAGCTCCCTAATAAGCTTCTGACACCCAAGGGGGAGATAAAGGCAGCAAGGGTGCACAGAAACATCAGTGAGCCAGCTGGGATGCTGATCTGGGGCAGACTTTGATGAAGATGAGGATTCTAGATCCCACTTCAAAAATGCTCCTTCAGCTATGGAATCACGCAATCCAGGTTCAGCTACATGTCTGTGCTACCCACAGGCATGGAGTCTGTAGCTACTGGACACCTACTCCACTCACTTTGTAGGAAGACAGAAACTGCAGGCTCCTGTAGGTACTCTAAGAAGAGACATAGGGACACCACGGTACCCAGCTGGCCACTTCCCTTCACATGACAGAGGCCAAGATCGGAGGCATGATACAGATGCCCCTTGGCCACCAAACTTGATTCTGGTCAACACCCTTTGCTCCCCTTGCTACCTGAAGTGCTCAGGGAATGTAAGCCATTCTCAATGTGGCTCAAGCCCCAAATATTGGGAAGGTGAGCCTGTATAGAAGTATTAGTGATCAAGGTCAATACAAAGGTTTAGTACTTAGCAAAGCCACTAGTAGGGGATATCAGCTGGAAGGGCCAGGGTTGACCTGGTAATATTCTGCAACCACTCTTTGAATATCAGAATCACAGTGTTTCTCAAGACTCTGGAAGTTCCTGCTTTTACACAACGAAGTCCTTAGACTACATGGCTGCCAGCTCTTATCATGAAAGTTCCCATTGCCTGGGGACTCCATAACAGTTCCTGGCTGTGAGTGATGAATTGTACTGTCTTCCAGGATGCAAATAAGGGTGGGTGTCCCTGCCAGCACAGGCTCTGGCTCAGTGCATGTCTGCTGTCCTGAACTGCAGTCTGGTCCAACAGTCAGGACCTTCCCTCGAGTCTGTCATTGGTCCAACTGAAAACCCATCTTTCATTTCAGCAGACGTCCTCTAGTTTGGGTCCCTGTGAACACAGAGGCAGCTGCCCCTCTTCCCTCCATGTAAATCTTTTATGAATTTCATGCTGAGGATGTTCTTTCCTTTCCCCTGGCCCCAGCCCTCCAGCTCTCCTCACAGGACATACTTTCCGTCCCTTTAATCATCTTTATTGCCTCCCTTTGGATGCTGGCCCAGTCCACATCCTCTGCGAGGTGTGCTGACCTACCCTGGGCATTCTCTACCATGAGCGCGGCTCAGGGGGAAGTTTGGCTTCCCAGTCCTCACATGTCATGCAGGCCCCTCTTCCTACATTCCTGTGTCATGCTGCTGCTTTCCGGAGGCCTGCCCCTGTCCAGGGGACTCCTGTGGAGCAAGGCGACCTGGCCCAGAAAGGGACATATGGGCTGACCTGGATGCCGCTACTGAGCCTGGAGGAGCTGTCTCATTCAGAAGCCTGGGGACTTTCTGTAACTCTGAGATACACACTCTATGGCAGAAGAGGAGGGATAAGGCCTCCTTCCTGACATCTCCCCAGGTTCTTGTGAACCCCACTCCTCCTTTAGGTGCAGCTCCCTCTTTCTTCCCAGCCCACAATGTAGGGATTGGTTAATGCGATACCACACAGCAAAAAGGCAGCAAACGCAATGCAATTAACTGTACTCTGGTCAAGGAAGGACAGGCTTGGTCCAACTGTCCCAGCTCAAGTTTCCTTTTAATGCCTAGTGGTTCCAAATAAAGTGCCTAGTGGTTCCGATGCCTAAGCCAGGGCTGTGGCCTCCCAGCTAGCTGCACATTTACTGTCCTCTGTGAATGTTTTCAGACCCACTAAATCCACTGTTGGGTGACAGGCATTTTGGGTGACCTGCTTCCCCTCCCCCGAGTTGTGGCTACTACCTCTCAGCCCTTGCTCCAGGCCTGAATGCAGAGGAAAGGTCAGAGGCACTGTCAGCTGCAGCACTTGGGCCCCAGGAGGTGGTTACACAGCACAAGGGCAGGCACTTCTAGTTTTCTGAGCCAGGGGTGTCAGCTGGCTGTTTCTTGTGTCTCCAAGAACATTCTCTGTTCACTTAAGGTAAAAGTACCAGCCATCATCTTTATCTAAGAATAAATTCCCCATAGGGGAATACCTCATTTTAATTCCTCAGGCATAAGCCTTTTTGTTCTTTCTCTCTTTCTTTGGATTTTCATCCAGAAATAATTTATGCACGTTCAAGCAAAAAAAATATACTCTGACTCCCCCTTTTGTATAAATGGCCGCACATGACAAACGCCGTTCTGCACCCAGATTTTTTGACCTAGACCACACTAAATACCTTCCCAAATAAGAAAGCCTTGTGGAATGCAATGCACGCCTTCCTCAGGTGCCAAGACTCAGGTGCTTGTCCCTGTGCACAGCCACCTCATCACTCCTTTCCTGTCCTGTGGTTCTCACCCGGGACTCTGAACTCAACAGAAGGGCCTTGTTCACTGCTCTGGGCATTGGGAGCAATGCTACAAGCTGTTGCTATCTGTGTGTTGCCTGTCATAGAACAGCGGGTTCTCACAGGAACAATTCCCAATGACTGAGAGAGGAAAGACACATGCTAGTGGACTCATGAGCTCCGGGAGCCTCCTGGAGGCCGTATCTCAAAATATGTGGCCAGCAGGTCCTATTCCTTGAGGATGCTGCTGCTTCTCAGAGGTCAGTGGGAAGAATGCTTCTCCTGCCCTGCAAAGCCCCGGGAGAGGCAGTGGGGACGGTGGCCCTCTGCTGCATTCCCAGAGGACCCACTCCTTGGAGTTGCTTCTGCTCTTGGGAATCTCCAAACAGTAACAAAGCCCACCACTGACCTCAGCTTACAGGTGGCAGCGGGTTACCAGAAGAGCACAACATAGGCCAGCACTGACATAGCCCCAGACACTGACGTGGGAAAGAACACCTAGAGCTCCAGACGGTCTCTCCTACCTTCGATCGTTTCTCCTCCTCCGGAACAGCTTCTTGGTGTGTGCAATCTCCACTTCATGGGGCATCGGGTGGTAGCCCTGGGATGTGGGAGAGAGGGGGCATGAATAACCTCTAAAGAGAGCAGATGGTATCTGGGACCATACTCACTACCACAGCATTCAGATAGGAAGATGGGAGAGGGCTAGGTGCTGACTTCCAAATCCAGATGGAAAATGGAAAATGTTTCCCTAAGGAAGGATGCTGCAATTTCAGACTCAAAGAACAAGGGGCATTAGGGGGAAGCCCAGAATTCATCATGTCCAAGCTGTCCAACACAAGTGAGGATACTCAGGCCCAGAGATCTGAGTGAGCACTTCAAGGTTTCCAGAGAGGGGGCAGCAAGTTCAGGGTGCCAATGCCCCCCACCTTCCCTTGACTGGGGGCTAAGCAGTGGGGCCCTTCCTATGGAGCCCCAATTCAGAGGGCTGCTTGTGTCCCTCATGGGGACCAGGTACACAGTCACTGGCTAAAGGGAAGGGACAAGCTCCTCCAATTTCCAGTTTCCTAACAAAATGGGAATGTTATTACCTTCTGCTCTGTGCTGTTGAGAGGACCAGGAGATGGAATCTGCCGTGAGCAGAGGAAAACTGCCTCCTAATCCTAGGCTCGTCTCCCCTGGAAGCTTTTACCCAAGATCCTTTCTCTTTATATTGCCTGGGAAGTATTTAGGGAAAACATGCAAATAGCTAAATTCTTTTTTAAACTTCAAAGGAGGGACTGGGGAAAATTCTAAGGATGGTCTTTTGCATATTGTCTTCATGACAACTACTTAGACATTGACATCAGTTGGAAAGAGACCTTCTACTTAGAATGCAGGCCTGATCCAGCAAATGCCAGGCCTGGCAGAATTATTGCAGAAGCTGGGCTGATGGCCAATTCTGTTCTTACCTCCTTCCCACCACCTCCACCCCCAACGGGAAAATGATAGTGACATGGCAGAGAGCATTACCATTCCCTTTCTAGCAGCCCACAGTGGAATACAGGGTACCTGGGACTCACTATGACACAGCCTGACTGTGACCTGCACTATGACATGCTGGTGTGGGCAGCAGCATAGGTGGAGAGAGGAGTCCTGGAGGCCAGTCTGCAGCAGAGTGGTCCGTGGGCATGCATTTGGTCCCAACCCCCTCCTGGAGGGCAGGGAGGCTGAGGCCCAGAGACATCATGCAGTGAGCCCCACAGTGGATCTGTGAGCTGCAGCCCTGACCCCTGCGTGAGGTGGCACACATACCCCTCTGGATTGGGGCTCCACAGAGAGCACCCGACTGTTCTACCTTCACAAGACTCAACCCCCAACTGGGGGAGCGGTGGGGGACATCAGTAGCCCTGGATTACTTCCAGAGAGGCAGTGGGAAGATGGTCAAGAGGGCACAGAGATCTTGGAGGTATGGACCAGACATTTAGGGTCCAGGGAGGGAAAGATACATTCCAAACTACATTTTAATGACAGCCCTTCCCTCCCACCCCATCTTTCTTGCTTCTAACAATCTAGCCAAAAAGGCATGAATGAATTCCAGGCTCCAGGCAGCCGCAATAGGCCTCTGGGGCCTTAGGATGTGCTTTGTTGAATGGTTTTCTCAAAGGACATTATTTGTTTTCTTTAATACAAAACACAAACAAGGAAAAACACCAAGTCTTCCCTTCTCACTTCCCCTCTCCCACCCTGACCAAGCTCTGAGCTGGCCCCCTTCCCTCCTTCCCTTCCTCCCTTCCTCCCTCTCCAGGTCACTTCAGGAACATACTGGGTGTGCCCCAAGTAGACAATGGACAGGAAGCTGAGGCTCCCTCCCGAGCTGGCAGCAGACTGGGATCTCAGCTCTGAGGCTGGACAGACGGAGCTGCTTGTGGCACTTGGCATAGCATGAGTCGAAGGTGCCAGCCTCCTCCGGCAGGGCCTCAGAGTCCTGGGCTCTGACCCACATCCTGGCCTCTTCCCTCCACACTGGCCACAGCGCTGGGGAGCTGCCCTTTGGACATGGCCTCAGCAGGGATCCTAACTTGTCCCCAGGCCTCAGAGGAGATCATCCAGCCACAAGGAAAGTTATCCTCATCACTCACTTAATCTGTGCCATGAAATGGGACCAGTGAGATAGGGGTGGAAAGGATGGCATGTCCTAGACAACAGCACACAATGACAGGAATGACTCACAAGGAATTTGGAAAGAGAGCTTCGATTCGGGCCCCTAGTGGCCTGGCCGGAGCAGATGGTGCTCTGGCTCCAGACCAGAGACCCCTTCCTGCTTTGCAGACGTAGAGAATTAACCCAGCTTGTCAGAATCATCCTTTAAGTACCCAGCGATCCTGCCTCTAACTCTTTTCTTAACAAGTCTGGGTGTTCCCTGCTAAGCAGAAGTCCCACTCAGGTAGAAGCTCTCTCCTGAGTGTGACAGGGACAGTCTTCTGGTCTCCCTCCCTCTGTGTGTGTGATCACTCTGCAGCAGATGTGACTCTGTCACCATCTGAACGGCACCGGGCCCTCAGGCTTAGCTTTGACTTCTGTGTATGAGTGGAGACACCTAGCTGTAGCCGCCCTACCTCCTGTGCCCCTCTGCCTGGTCTAAGCTCTGATCACTTTCCATAATGAGTGGGCCTGGGAGACAAGTAGATGATATAAAGCAAGCTTCTCCAGGAAGAGAGGGAGAATGTTCCTTCTACTCCTTTCTGGCAGAGCGCACATGAAACATATGCATGCATGTGCACGCATACACATGTGCACACACTCCTACCCAGAGGTTGGTGCAAGTGTAAGGTGCAGCAGCAAGGGGCAGCACATTACTGCTCTGGTTACAAAACATGTTATGTAAAAGCAGCTCATTCCAGAGTAGGCTGAGGCTGAAATCTCACGCCCTTGTGCAGTGGGTATTTTGGAGGGATCAAGGGCAGGTCCGGCAGAGTTCTGACCTCAGAAGTTCAGCCCCAGACAGTTAATAATCCCAGGCAAGGCGTGGAGTGGCGTTGCCTTGAGACGACAGTTATAAAAAATAAACCTTAGGCCTGCAGGTGGCAGGAGAGCGAACAAAGCAAAAGCACCCGGCAGAGATCAGGTGTGCTGGTGACTCTAAGATGTGCTGCCACTATGATGACAGTGACAAGTGTGACAAAATTCTCCTGGCCACAGGATCCTATGCACCACCCCTACTTGTGCATCTGACCACCTATGCCAGAAGCCACCACCTTTCCAATCATCTACGTATTCTATAGATATGCATTAGACACTATGCATATGGTACTGTAAAAAATAGGCAAAATGCTTGTTCTTGGAGTATACATACTCTCGTGAAAGAAGACAGCCAACAAATATGCATATGTGGCAAATGGGATTGTTTTGCTATGAACCAAAAAGAGACATGGTAAAGGACGAGGGAAGGAGAGGTGAGGTGGTGTCCAGTAGTCAGGAAGCCTTCTTGATTATAGAAATGGTTAGCAGCCATCCATCCAGTTGTCTAGCTTTCTATCTTTGGTTGTTCTCTATGCAACACGCACTGCAGGCCTACTGTGTGCCAGTGCATCAGCTGGATAAAACCAGGATGAAGAAAAATCTCCCAGAAGGGCAGAAGGGAACATAAATGGGGAAGCTGACATGGCATGTGCCAGGGTAGAAGTTGAACAGCCCAGAGGAAGGACCTGGACTTTGGAATGGAAGGAAAGTCCAGGAACACATTGCCAAGGGGGTGATACCTGAGCTGAGCCCTCAGGTATTCAACAGAGAGGAAGGGAGAACATGTTCTAATCTCTACCTGCTGGCAAGGATGCTGGTGTCATGGCCATGTGTGGGTACATGCCTGGTACCAGGGAGGCAAGGGAGACACCTGTGCTCTGGGGGCCAGCACTAGGGCTCCTGAACACAGTTTCTAGCCTGGGGGCATCTGCATAGTCCCCTTCATCTCATATAGTGGGGAGAACTATGTCCCCCAAAAGATTTATTGGAGTCCTAATCCAAGGTACCTGTGGCTATGACCTTATTTGGAGATTGGGTCTTTGCAGATATAATCAAGTTAAGATGAGATCACACAGGGTTAGGTTGGGCCCTAAATCCACTCTCTAATATCCTTATAGGAAGAAAGGAGTTTGGATGGACATCAAGAGATAGCAGACATAGACAGAAGAGGGCTGAATGAAGATGGAGGCAGTGTTTGGCCTGATGCAGCTACAAGCCAGAACCTGGAAGAGGCGAAGAAAGGTTCTGCCCCACAGACTTGATGGCTTGAAGCATCTTTATGGCTCTGTGGCTTTCACTTTGTGGTCACTTGTTCTGGCAGCCCTAGGAAATGCACACAGCCCCTGCCCTCCCACCGCCATCCCACTGCCCCCAGTGTGCGTCCATGGCCCTGGGCCTGCCCAACTGCCTCCCCTATCTGCTTCCTCCATATCACCAGCTGGGCATTCCTAGGAAGTCCTTTAGGACCCTGTTCAGCATGGGGGTTGCTCCAGTGTGTTTGACAGTCTCTGGTGAGCAAGAGCTACCAGCCCCACATGGGTACCACAGCAGAACCCCGAGGCTGTGCCCCACAGGGGCTGCTCTGCTGCTAGAGGCTGGGCTTGAGGCAGAGACTTCCAGGCCACTGTCAGCTTCCAGACCTTTTCAAATCAACAGTTAACCCACGCTGCTGCCCAGATTTCTATACTCAAGTACTTCTCTATTTGACAAGGGGAACTTGAATCTCTAGAGAGCAGGTACAGTATTAGGTTCCCCACCTCCCCAGCAGTATCGCCTGCCTCTAGGGGACAATACCTGTTGTCCCAGCCCTGCCCTGTCATACAGTTGGAGGAACCAGGAACAAGCAGTGGGGAGACCCCTGGCTGGAAGAAGCATCATCCGCTACTATCACTCCCTGGTCACTTGGCCAGCCAGGCCCCAGTCCCATACTAATCAGGTGGGAAGGGAGTCCCTAAATCCCACACCACCTCCCAGAGGTGAGTGCAAGAGGACAGAGACCGTCCGTCTCATGGACCAAGGTGCCGCAGCACTAGAAGTCTGCCTGGTACACAGTTGATCATAACTAAATATTTGTAGAGGAAAGCAAAAAGGGAGGAGAGA